TTTTTCTTATGTTTACTTTTTATATATATATATATATTTTGAATCCAATTAATGAAAATTCTAGTTCCGCCATTGTCTATACTAGAAGGGGCAAAAAAAGAGTTGTTGGGTTTTAGCAAGGTGTGAATGGGAAATAAGAATGAACGAGAAAATGGGAAATATGGGGGAACCGATTTGGAGGAAAAATGAAAAATCATTTCAAATGGAAAGTCATTTCTCTCATATTGGTAGAAGAAAGAAAAAGTGTTGTCCTTATATAATTAGGAAACACTTCCTTTAGCTCTTAAAGGGTTAAGTAGAAGGTGTATGTCTATACTAGAAGGGGCAAAGGAAGAGTTGTTGGGTTTTAGCAAGGTGTGAATGAGAAATAAAAATGAATGCAAAAATGAGAAATGGGGGAACCAATTTAGAGGGAAAATGAAAAATCATTTCAAATGGAAAATCTTTGAAAATGAAAAATCATTTATCCTATATTGGTAGAAGAAAGAAAAAGTGTTGTCCTTATATTAGGAAACACTTCATTTAGCTCTTAAAGGGTTAAGTAGAAGGTGTCCCCTCGCGTCGTTAACAAAATTATTCAAAAATTCTTGCATAATGGTAAAGTCGTTTAGAAGGGACATGTTTCTTCCGAACAAATATTTATTTCCCAAAAGAAACAAGTGTTCTGGAAAGACATGTCTGAACAGATGCGTCCACACTCTTGTCTGAACAGACGCATTCCTTGCTGCAATTGGCTATACATAGAGAGATTTCTCTCATTTTTCAACACAAATCGACTGAGTCTGTGTGTGTTCTCGTTGCTGTTTTTGAGTTCGTTGAAATTGTTGAAGTTTGAAGTACCGCTACTTCTTTAATAGTTAATTCGTTTTATCTTAGGAGAAATTAATCTCAACCTCGAATATTTGAGGGGATTAAATTTCTTAAGGATATACAATGGGTTCTGTGGACTCAGATTATTTATCTTTTGTTTATTTCATCTATTCTGTTTCTATTTTTACTAACCTGAATACAGGAGATAACCAGAGTTGAACGGGGTTGAAGCTGAGCTGAAATAGTGATATTATATACAAGGCTAGGTATATGTGTCGGTGGTGGTGTAGGAAGCGTATTCCTCACGGCCAACAACAATTCAATCATGTTTTTCATTTGTGCATTTATATATTTAGCATGTGATTATTATATATATATTCTACTTGCAACCCAATATCTACCTCTAATCTTCCTCTATTTTTAACTTGATTCATTTTCCCCTTAAAGTCATGTCGTTAATAGTTCTACAACCCGACATTAACCTGTAAACCAACAACCATGGGTTTATATTTATTACTCGAGAAGGATTGAAGATTTTAAGTTTTACAACGACCTAGCTCAAGCAAATATATGACAGTAATTGGGTTTTTTATTAGTTAAATATTTAGTAATTTTTTGCTAAATTGTTAAGTTTTCTTGAATCGCTATTGTTTATTACCTTCCTTTAAGCCACAATTAGTAATCACGCATATCCTTAAAAAGATTCCTAATATGTCTAGATGGACTTGCAATTTACATTTTGTTGGTGCACTTTGATAATTATAGCTTAAGATGATTTCTTTAGGAAGGTGGAATTCATTAGTAAATTAGTTGAGGTGGTTAATTAACTTCAAACGTGGAAAAGGGAAAAGGAGAGGTTAAGTTCATAATTTGGAGATTCCCATTAATGAATTGTTATGATTTTCAATTTATCGGTTATTAAGTCGAATCATAGTGTCTTTTCGTTCATTCAACTAAATCAATGCTCATTTATTAATTAACAAGAAAAAATCCCCAACCTTTATCATTGATCAGTTACAAAAACCCATGAAACAACCTAAAAGGTTAAAAAAAGAGAAAAGAATTGAAAAGGCAAATTCGGACATAGTGAAATGCACTAGTGACTTTAGTGAGAATAAGCCATACTAAAGAATATTAAATAAGCTATGAAATTTATCGAAATTAATAGTACTACTGTCTTTGGTGACAACAAAGGGGTGACTAGAATTAATGACAACTCGTTGGTTCAACTGGTCCCAATTGCAGTATTTTTCTACGCCCTCGGTAAGTATCATTTTAAATCATTTCATACCTATTAAGAAAAATAATAAATATAAGATATATATTTATATTTTATTAGATGTTTCTTGAAATTTGAAAATAGTTATATTATTTTTATTTTAAATTTTAAGGCAATACTTATTTTGGAACAATTTTTTTTCAAGCTAACACTTATTTGCAAGTGTGATTAGGGGTGAATATGGTATGGTACGGTATTTGAAAATTTTGATATTGTAATTTCGGCATTCGGACGTTTTTAATACTATTATATCATTGCCATTAATTCGGTATGGTTCAGTATTCGATTTTGATATTTTATGATTTGATTAATCGGTAATTATAGTTTGTTCAATTTCGACTAATATATACGCGTCTAATAGAGTATTATGATTTCGACAATTCAAAAAAAGGGTCTCAATTGTATCACACTAACACATTACTCATGTAGAAATATGTATATTCAAAAGAAAGTACAAACAACTCATTTTGTTAAGCAATTATATTTCAAACAAAATATAAAGTAATCAAAGTTTTAATTTCAAACATGAATATTAGGTTGCATATTTGTTAGTATTTTAATAATATATATATATATATATTATGTAACTATACACTTCGATATGATATCGATATATTGATATATTATTTTTAAATACCAAATATTTTTAAAAATATATCATATATCATATCAAATACCGTAATACCAAACTAATATTATCAAAAAATTGATATGATATGATAATTTCATATATATCATACCATGTCCACAAAAAAGGGTAGGGACAAGGGAGAATGTCATTTGTCCGATCTGTCTACTCCACCTTTATTTTACCTCTTTTAGACAGGAGATATTGTCCAAACCTATAATTATTTGCCTCAATACCATCTCATCACGTCACCACCTTAATAAACAAAAACAAGAAATGTTTTTTTATTCTTATTCAGAATTTATTTATCCAACTATTTTATTTATTTCGGAGCAAGCTCATTTTTAATATGATAAAGTGCTTCTGAAAGAACACTTCTTGGTAATGAAAGGATTTAAGGTATTTCACCATACTCCGGGGGATAACATGATATAAAATATTTTCACTTTCACAAATACTCATATAGTATTTAAGTACTCCTTTATATGATTGGCTTTTCTTTTATATGACTGACTTTCCTTTTTAGTCATTTTTAAAAAATATTACGTACACATTTTTATATTTAGTAACGATTTTACTATAAAATATCTATTTATTATTAATAAAATAATTTATAATCACACAAATATCTGTGACTTATTTTACTACACAAAGTTCAAAAAAAAAAAAAAAAATTTGGATGGAGGAAGTAGTAATGAATTTGAGTAAGTTCCTTTTTGTAGGGTCGTTGGGGAGATGGACCTGTGCAAATTGAATTAAGCTGTTGATTGGCTAGCTAGTACTCTTTGACATTCCCCGTTTACCCGCCTTTCTTTATCATGGAATGCAACTTTTTTCATTATTTTCTCTCTTATTATTATTGTTTGGACATTGAAATAGAAAGAAAATTATATCCGCCTCCTATCTCTCTTTCTTTTTTACAAAGTTTTTAACCGATTATATAAATATTTTTTACACTATCTCTTTTTATTAATCCTTCTTAGGAGCTTTTTATCATTTTCACTCCCTCGATTATTCAAATCTACAATCTTAGAATTGAAGGTGAAAGATGTTTATCATCTGAGCAACTTATCTTATTCTCCTCCGATCTCTATATTCTCTTACTATATAAGAAGGAGTTTGGAGGCTGAAGTATGACACGTCTTCATTGATGCGCCTGCTTCAACGAGGGGCATTTTTGGGAATGTTTTTTACAAAAAAAAGGGAAAAAAAGAAGAAGAAGAAAGTCGTAATCAATGGTGGGTGAGTGGAGGTGGCAGTTGCCCACACGCTCATGCTTGTTTTTCGGCACCTTGATTGGCGCCCAAAAGCTTTTCCAACAATTCTGCTATGTCAACCACAAAATTAAATGACATCATATATATCATCAACTAATTAATTTTAAGCTCTACTATAGTAATACTTGTTCTATTTCATTTCGTCCCTCTTATTACTATATATCACATCATCAAATTTTAAATATTATATTTTCTTAAAGAAAATCTTGTGGTGCTAAATTAAAAATGCATTGTAAATAATCGTTGAATGTTGTGATCTTAGAACACATAGTCGGACCAATAAGAGTTGTGATAACGTGGTAGGTTGTTCTTCATTCTTAACTAGGGATTTCGGGCTCAAGTCTCCCTCTAGATAAAGTCATCTTTGTTAGGCAGCGCTTTCCCCCCTAATGTGGAACTTCTCGCGAATTCAAATTTAGTCGAGCTCCAATACAGACACTGAAATGAGAAACATAAAAAAGAACACATAGTCGGATGTTAAAAATGTTAATTTTTTTCTCAATTTACATAGCACTGTGTGAATTTTGAGAGTCAATTTTTTATTTTTAACCGCAAATTTGAACATAGAAACTTTATGTTTTAGGAAATAAAATTTATATATTTGAAAACTATATTAAAAAATATTATTATAAATTACAATAATTAATAACTTAAATTATTTAAAAACCATATGAAAAGATTGTAGTCGAAGTAAAACTCTATTTAACTCTAAAAATCTGAAAGATACCATACAAATTGGGATGGAAGGAGAACAAAATATAAAAATTAAAACTAGCTCTGATTCAACCGTTTGTATGATACATAGAATATACTAAAATCTTATTTACTTATAGTCTTAAACAAGACACGTGCTAAAAAAACAAATAAAAAAAGTATTTCTTTTAATAGATAAATAAAAAGATAGATAAAATACATTACGTATTATATTAAGTATATATATATTTACTATTGGTATTACATTATCCTTCATCATTAGGGCTTTTGTGTGTTTGGTGGGGTGACTTTATATAAGCATATTTGTTCATGCTTCTTCCATTCTCTTAGCCTTTTTTCCATTTTGGGGATCTGGTCCAAACGACCAGCAGGAGATCCACCACAATTCCCGAGGATTCAACTTTGAACTCTCCTTAATTCCTTCTTTTTTTTTCTATTTCTAGTCTTCTTGTCTCTTCTCTTTTATTTTTTTCACATAAACCCTTATTCTTCTCTGCTCAAATTCAACTTTATTCAGATCTGTGCACTTGGAAATTAAGGTTTGCTCCATCTGTGAGATCTCTTGTTTTTCTTTTCTTAACAAGTTTTATGTTCATCACTAGTCGAAGCGAATTCAGAATTTATAATATTGACTTATAGAGCATAAGTTTTTTAAGATATAAGTGATGTCTTTGCAGGCTTTTTAATTAAGGGTTGAATGAACAATCACTATAGTAGTTATAATCACTCATTCTTTGTGATTTATTTGATAACCGTCGTGATGATTGTTACTCCAACACTATCATATGCTTTGTAATTATAATCTTTTTTGGTAAAATAACTGTATTATTTTCTCTTTGGTTAATTAATTAAAAGCATTTGAGACAAGACTAGTAATTGGAAATGGATTTAGTTGAAGAATTACTGATCCTACTAATTTGTTAGAGTATCCTTTAAGAATAACATAATTAATCCCATTTGTTTAATTGGCATGAAACAAAGATTTCATTTTTATTCTTCTTTTTTTTTAACCTGAAGTCAAAGGACAGTAATATCTAATAAATGTGGACCTGAAATTCCCTAAATGCGAATACTATTTCATTTCATGGATTAGATTATATATTAACCATGCTTAAGTGGGATGTGAACTATCAGAAAATTGATCCATTAACATAATTTATTTCAGTCATGCTTCTCCTTGTATCAAATTGCAAGAAGATAACTTATTAATTGCTTATAATTAACTATCTATTTTTCAGTATTATGTTTCCCTTTTAGAAATAATGTTTTTCTTTCACTATATATCTTCTTTGTTTGTGTTTGTCCAAGCACGAAGCAACACGAGGGAATGGGTAAAATGGTGTTTGATGTGAATAATATTTGCTAGAAATTAGTCGAATCTTTCAAGCTCTTAATTTTTCATTGCTAGAAATGTAAATTAATGTATTAGTTGGTTGAAGATTCCCAACTGTTTACCATTAGAAATGTTTTGATGAAAATAGTATATATCATCTACCTTCGGCCACTTCTTTTGTAAACACGAGTTGCTCTATATATGTGACTGTGAGCCTTATTATGGAGATAAACATATATCTTTGGCATTTAATTTACAGAGTTCATTAGGGTAAATGTAACATATATGCATGTGTGGTTCGATCACAAAGCAAACAGAGATGAATGCTAACTGAATATGTTATATGATTCTTGAGTAAGTAAAAGAGATACCTTTTTATTTTAGTTTTTGTTACATATATATATAGAGAGAGAGTGAGTGAGAGAGAGAGGATAATAGTTGAAGGGGAATACCAATTTTATTACCAACATCTTCTTCCACATTTAGAGTTATTTAGTGAGGTAAACTAATAGAGTATCATGATTTTGTGCCTCAAAAGATAAGGTAGTATAATAAAAGGTTTTTGTTTGTGAATTATCATTGGCAAGTCCCTATAATTGATCAATAGACAATTTATATCAAATCAAGATCACTTTATAGCATACACCTATTTTCTTAAAATAAAAATCAAAAGACATAAACTGTGTGGTACGTAGGACTTGAAATATAGCGAATAAACGTACGTACATAGTGTTTTTTTTTAAGGGATTTAATTGCAAGATATATAGCCCAAATTGATTGAATTAAAACAAATACTGGACTTCCAAATTTTGTAGCTAGTCACATTCAGTTGATTCAAGAAACTAGCTAGGTGATTGATGCATATGTTCATTCGTACTATACTAAATAGAGTAGTTAATAATTTGGGAATTATAATACGAAAAAAATCTAACAAAGTAGATAGAAATTTTCAGTCTTCTGATATTCTTTTATTTTTGTGGATATGCAGACAGGTCATATATATACATTTGATCATGAATTCGTTTTCACGTGTTCCACCTGGCTTTCGGTTCCATCCAACTGATGAAGAACTTGTAGATTATTACCTCAGGAAGAAAATCACTTCAACAAGGATTGACCTAGATGTTATTAAAGAGGTGGACCTCTACAAGATTGAACCATGGGATCTTCAAGGTACCATTAACATATATATACTCTCTCCGTTCATTTTTACATGTCATGTTTTGCTTTAACAATGTCAATTTGACTAATCATTGGAGCTAAATTACTATAGGTCACAATCCTTCTTATATTAATATATGATGAAAAAATACATCTTAAAACATTAGTCGAAGTTCATGTCGTTTGTCTCTTGATGAAGCGCTAAATGTAACAAGTAAAAGTGAATGGAGAGAATAATAATGATTATCAGAAATTCCAAAAAATAAAACAGTAAGTACTTATCAAACTATATTTTTGAGTAGAACTATGCAGAATAGGGAGAGAAGAAGAAGATGAATGGTACTTTTTCAGCCACAAAGATAAAAAATATCCAAGTGGTACAAGAACCAATAGAGCCACAACAGCAGGATTCTGGAAAGCAACAGGAAGAGACAAGGCTGTATATTCCAAGCATGACTTGATTGGCATGAGGAAGACCTTGGTTTTTTACAAAGGAAGGGCTCCTCATGGTCTCAAATCTGATTGGATTATGCATGAATATCGACTTGAGACTGATCCAAATGGTGCCCATCAGGCAAGTTCTTCACTGAACTCTAATATCCTGTTTGACCAACTTTTAAAATTTGCTTATTTTGAAATATATTTTTTGTTGGAAGTGGTTTTGGTAAAAAGTGTACCTTTTGGAGAGTAACACTAATAAATTTTAAAAACATTTTTGCAGTTATTAGAATTTTAGAACAGTACTTTGTGTTTGACCAATATTCCAAAGGTGCTTCAGGATAGAAGCTACTTTTTTGTTTAGCTCAGAGCTCGTTTGGATAAGCTGAAAAAAATAGTTTTTAAATCAAAAAATAAAAAGTTAAAGTTTAAATGACTTTTAAGTCAAAAAATAGAAAGAAAGGGTAGTCCTACTTTTGATTTTTAATCTTTTAAATTTATTTTAAACTTTATCAAATATTTCAAAAAGCTAAAAATGACTTAAAAGTAGGTTAATCAACTTCAAGTCAATATAAAACAGACTCTTAATAGTTTTTGCTATTACTAGTAGATAGACCTTACTTTCCCCCCTAAAAACTTGGTCAAACCTCTTAATTTTCTAAAATAAGCACGTTGGTTTTTTTAAAAGTTTGCTAAACAGACTATAAATTAATCTATTCTACTAGGTCACCTACCTTATTATTCTACGTTAATTCTATTTATTGATTGTTGATAATTTAAAACACAGGAAGAAGGATGGGTGGTGTGTAGAGTTTTCAAGAAGAAAATGGCAAGCACAAGGAAAGAAAGTGAGCAGGAGTCACCAAATTGGTACGACAATAATAATGATCAAGTTTCATTGATGCCAAAGATTGACTCACCAAAGCAACAACATAATTACCCTTGCAAGAAGGAATACCAAATCCCAATCCCATCTCATCACCAACAACTTCCTCTTTTACAAAGTCCTAAACTTCTTCCATCCACCTCAATTAATTCATTGTTTGGAATTAACGTCGTTAACAATAATACCTCTAATTTGCAACAGTCTGTCTCCGTTCTCACACGAGAACAAGTTGTTGATCAAGTGACCGATTGGCGAGTGCTCGATAAATTTGTAGCTTCTCAACTTAGCCAAGAGGAGGTAGTCTCTAAGGAAAATGATTATGCAAACACCTTACATGGTGCTACCGATGAATCGAATTTGATGGTTCAAGATTTGAACAAACAAGAAACAGTCACTGAAAATAACTCCACTGCATCGTCCTCATGTTTTCAGATTGACCTGTGGAGGTGAAGTGAAATGAAATTCCTTATAAGTTATAAGCAAAGTAAATACTGATCATAGGAAAGTACAGTTCTTAATTTGTTGATTAAATATCTAATCTGTTTAATATCATTGTACATAATAATACTACAAAGAAAAACTATGTGACACTTATAATATTAGTAATTTAGTTAAGAGAAGATGAATTAACTGCTTGATGCATGATTGAAGCATAGGTGAATTATACATGCTGCTGCAAGTTTTATATATCTGATTGAGTTGTAATTGAAGCATTTTCATAATGTCAGTCAAGGCAGGGCTATCGATAATGTATATGGTATGATAGCTATTGCTTTGCTTATGTAAACCATTATTTGATATGTGTTTAAATGTTACATTATGTAGTGTTGTAGTACTACTCCTTTTGTTTCAATTTATGTGACAGAAATTTTCCTTTTTAGTCTGTTTTAAAGAGGATATCAACTTTAAAGTTCTCATTTTACTTTTAATGAAATGATTTATTATGATCACTGAGACAACTTTTGACCACAAGTTCTTTCTTAGGTTTCGTACTCAATCAAGTGGTGCAAAATAAATTGGGAGGAAGGGAGTATGTGAATTTATTTTCTAAATTTATTCCTAAATGGGAATTTAAGGTCCATACCATATTGTTCTTGGTTCCTTTTACTGACAATATATCTTATTCTCAAACTACTACGCTTTCTAAGAAGCCAACCCAAAAATACTTCCAACTAACAAAGCTACAATTAATAATGATACGTATTTCGTTAAACGTTCATTGATAGCAATCCATTTTATATGGCTAATTATAAGCATTTGCAAATATAGGAATCATATTATTGCTGATAGGTTAAGTAGATCTGTCTTTGTTTTTGTTTTTCATTTTTGGGAAATATTATTTCAGCAAAAAATAAAATACAGTATTACGTAACTTTGAAGGTGAGACCTATCCAAGTGATATATGTCTTTCATTAGTATACTCTTGCAATTGCTTTGCTTAAAGGCCTCTTGTTCTTCATTCTTCACACAAAAGAAAATAATCTAATATTACTATACTCACAAATTTTTACCAGAAATTAATAGCATCATCATGACTCAAAATTCTCCTTCAAAAACTTACACAACTTTATATCAAATTGAACAAGAACGAAAGACATTTACATTATATACCGACCACAAAATCGTAGGAATTTCGAGTGTTATATATCAACACTGATGGAGTCAGAATTTGAACTTTATGGGTTCAAATTTTTATGTTAGCGATATCAGATGTCAGATGTCATGAACTAGATCTTTAATTTAATTTTTGTACATAGTTTCTTAACACAAATACAAGGACTTGCACTGAACCAGTGGTGGAGCTAGAATTTTTAATAAGGGGGTTCAATATCTGAAGAACAAAACACACGAACTGATCGAAGGGGGTTCGACATGTATAAATAGTAAAATTTTCCGCCGAAGGGGGTTTGGATGAACCCCTAACAGAAAGCTGGCTCCGCCCCTGCACTGAACAGGTAACATTCTAGCTCCGCCCCTATAGGTATTTATCGTGGAAAATTATATCATAGAGGTATTTTATATTGTGTTACATTTTTAATTGTGATCATACAATGTAGAAGCAAAAAGGAAAAACAACAAGAAGAGTAGAAAGTTTTCGTCTCAAACAAAAGGCATTTCCTTTTTTGAGAAACGATAGACAAAAAGATGAACACATTTGAGATGGTCTTTTTCCAACATGTAGACATACAGATGTAAGCAAATTAAACTGAAACAGTGAAACTTATATATTTGTTTATAGACAAAACGTGTAGTAGAGCTTAATTAGCTTACAATTAGTAATTAATTATTAACATAGCTTAAGACTAGTCACATTACTAAGAGATTAAATTAAGATATATATTAAATAAATGATACTTACAAAAACCTTTTGTCAACATTGCTTTAGCTAGAAATCCTCCAAAGTTGCTAAACCAAGAGAATTTTTTTTTTGTGGAGGGAATTGAAGTAAGAATTGATTGTAGAAATGTTTTTGATTAAATACCATGAAAAAGTAGAGTCAAATTGTCCTTGTCTGCTGCCGATAATTTCGACATTCGAATTCCTTTTCAAGCAAAGGTAAAAAAGAAACAAAAAAACATACTCATTTGGGCGTCTTCCCTACTCATGAACAAACAAAGAAATAGATAAAAGTACAATTTTAATTTTAATTTTATCCTTAATAAGATGATAATTATATATCTCGTCGATATAAATATTTTTTTGATAATATCGGTTCATTCAAATAATATTTTAAGCCTTCTTAAAATATGAGATTCAAACTTTGAAAATAAGATAAATTATCTATTACAAACAGATGAAAATGATCTAATAATATAAAAATCATATATACTTACGATATATATTACCCTTTTATTTTATTTTTTCAATCGAGTTGATATGCATTATATAAATTTGGAGAGACAGAATAATTTCTTTAATACTAAAATGGTATCCTAGGATGAAAAGAATTAGAATGAAGTAGGTCAATGAGTCTGAAAAGTGTATAGGCATGACATGAAGATGATGAGCATCTTGGAATCATAATTAGGGTTATGTTTGTGTGTGAATGAAGATAACATCATTAACAAACTCCCATGTCACTGCTATTATGCTCTCCTCTATATCTTAGGCCTTTTTGTCATACATTAATTCATAATTTGATTTTGCTCTTTACTTAAGGATCAAACCTCTTATTTTATTTTATTTTCATGGTCAACTCAAAATTCAACATTCATCTAATCCTCTAGTGATCTAGGAATTCTAAACAACCGTCGGAAATTATACATATTAGAACTTGTTTACCGATAGTTGAAATGAGCCTATTTTATATTCATCATTTTTATTCTCTATTTTATTGTACTGTCAAAATGAGCCTATTTTGGTACAATACAATACATGATATATCTTATATTCATCACTTTTATTCTCTATTTTATTTATTTTTATTTTCAATATTGGAATCTATTCTACGAAACTAGTTACTCTTGCTTACAAGTTATAAAAGAACAAAATCTATTTTTTGTGTGTACTTTAAAATTACAAGAAGTGCAACAAGCCAACAATCAATCATTATATTAAAGGAACACAATAGTTTATATTCTTGAGCCAGTTTTTTTTGGGTTGAAGAGCCCGATTTTATTATTCTAATTTTATTTTATAGTTTTTTCTTGAAAGGTTGTTATTGTTGATATTCTTAGTTCATAAGTATATATATTCTTGTTTTAGTTATTATATTAAAGTTTATTCAATTTACATATCTCAACTAGAAAATATAATTCTGATTTTACAAAAAGAGAGAAAACTTGAAGAAATAAATAAATTCCCAAAAGAATTCATTGATAGATCGATGTTTAAAGAATAATTAAAATCTTGAATTAAAAAATATGTGAGGATGTTCTTTCTTTTTATTAGACCAAACAAACAGAGGAACCGCTATTCCTCACTGCGGTATTTACTCTTGAAATACAGGGTAAGCGTTCTTCAAATGAATAAGTCAATAATAGAGTTGAGTTAGATGATAATAACATTCAAGAAGAAAATCTAAAAGAAGTTGATGAAAATATGATATAATTCCTAAATAATTTATATAGTTGCATCCTTTAAAATAAATGTGACAATATTTCTTTTTTCTAAAACTAAATTAATAAGTATTAGGATCCCCCTCTAAAGTTTGGCTTTAGGCCTCCAGTATTGTTGAATTGTCCCTAAACACATCCATTTCTCTCAGAATTTTATTGGTTGAGTTCAAGATAATTTAAATATTGGTCAATTTCAACACATTCAATCTTTAACCCATTTTAAAAGGATCTTCAATTTATCTTCAGAAATCTCACTAGTTTAGGAACTAATTACTTAGATACACTCTAATTTGATATATTACGAATCTTACAAGATTTTGGTGCATTTAGATACATCCAGATACATGTATCTCGGGATACATAGAGTCAAAATTAGGTGTATAATTTGTTCTAAATACACTGTATCCAAGTAGATTCGCATGTATCTGTGATACATAACGAATCTCGCTCGCCTCCCTGCCCATCTCGCTCACCTCTCTCCCTATTTTAGTGTATCTGGTAGCAAAAATACATGTATCTAGGTGTAGTTTATTCAATATATGGTAGGAAACTCTTAATTAGTGGTAAGATACATAATTATTTAAAAGTATAGATAGAATTAAGGAAAAACTACATAATTAAACATACTTTACTACCATATAGGGGTCTACATGGACCGGGTTGGGTTCATTATTTTTAGATACCAAACCAAACCATTGATGTCAGGTTTTAAATCTATAAACCAAATCAAACCAATAAATTTGGGTTTTTTCGGATTTCTCGACCTTCTAGGATTTTTTCCGGTAAAGTATTCATACAAACATATAATTATATTAACTTGTGTTTCAAATATTTCTTTAGTCTTACCAAAATATAATTATCTAAGGTGTTTCTTAAGAAAATAACACAACATGATATGGGTGATGAGACTAAAATATTCGACAAAATAATAGTGAAATCATATAAAACAAATATTGTAAATAAATAAGTCAAAATGAAAATGATCATAATTTTAAAGTAGGCCAAATGGTCTGGTGGACCCTTGTACTTGTATCTGTTTGTATTGTGAACCCTTCTACTTACCCTTTTGTCATCTGGACCCCTGAACCCATCCAAACCCAACATTTTAAACACTTTTTTTGATGTGGCATCCTATGTGGAAAGACTCCACATGGAGCGTGTGATACACACAAAGTAAGAGCGTGAGAAGACCTTAAAAGGCACTAACGGTCAGTATTTTGACCTTTAAAGACCATCTCTTCTTCTTTATTTTCACTCAACACCATTGTTGGACAATTTGAGCTTTTTCCTCCTCTTTTTCTTGATTTTGTCTCTTCAAATTTTTTCTCTTTTATTTTTGGAGCCTTTATTTTTTTCTTCGATCTACTCATCTTTTTTTTTGTGTGTGATTCTATTGTATTTTTGTTGGTTTGATTTTGTTGGTCTTCACGATGACGGTTCGATGTTGCTACTGTGGAATATATGTTGAACTAAAGACATCAAGAACACCAACTAATCCTGGAAGAATGTTTGGGGTTGCCAAAAATATTCATCCGGTAATGGGTGTGGTTTCTTCCG